ACTGAGGGGGGAAATGACAGAGGTCGATAAAATCATGCCTGGTGTGGAGAAAGTGACTAAAGAAGTGTTATTTACCCCCTCACATAACACAAGAACCAGGGGGTCATGCAATGAAATTTAATAAGCAGCAGATTTAAAACAAACATAAGGAAGTACTTCTTCACCCAGTGCACAGTCAACCTGTGGAACTCATTGCCAGGGGATGTTGTGAAGGCCAGAAGTATAACTGGGTTCAAGAAAGAATTAGATAAATTCCTAGAGGATAGGTCCATCAATGGCTATTACCCAAGGTGGTCAGGGGTGCAACTGCATGCTCCTAAATCTCTGACTACTAGAAGCTGGAATTGGATGGTGGGATGGATCACTCGATAACTGCCCTGTTCAGTTCATTCTCTCTGAAGCATCTGGCACTGGCCACAGTTGGAAGACAGGATTCTGGGCTGGACGGACCATTGGCCTGACCCAGCATGGCCATCCTTATGTTTTTATGTAGATGGGGAACTGAGTCACAGAGTGGGGAAATGACTTTTCCTAAGGTCACCCAACAGGCCAGTGACAGAGCAGGGAATAGAAACCACATCTCCTGAGTCCCAATCCAAGATTTACAAAGACACATTTATTTTGCCACTCAGTAGACGAAAACTCATTGCAGGTGAAGAGAGGGCCAACAGGTACTTTAGGGAGTTTGTATAGACTGGAATAAGCACCAGCTCCCCCTTGAGCCCCACCCTGCTGCCAGTTGCATGGCCAGTCCCACGGCCTCTGGAAGAGGTGAGGTGTGGGTGGGATTTTATGATGCTGAGATACAACAGGGCCTAACAAGACCATGCCACTTTCTAATGGATGCTGCAGTCCGTGCAAGAGGCATGTAGGGTCCAGGTGGAAACCTTAGGAACGAGCCCTGGGAGAGCCCTGGTTGTTTCTCAAGCAAGAATGGGAGGAGTAGGGTGAATAAGGCAGGTAAAAGGCCCGTGCTCTTGGGGGGTGGGGCGGGGACTGTCTTTCAGTCTTTTCATTTTGGAAGGAATGATTGCATGGAGCAGGGCATCGCTGACGGTCTGGCTCTGGTAACCGAGTGCGGACAGGTGCTGTGTTCTAATCCCTTCCCCTCCGCACACACAGCTCTGCCAATGCACCTCAACCCTGGGCTCCAGCTGCCCCTGACCTTCTCGCCCTGGGCTCCCCACAGTTCTGCTGATGCCCCACACCCGCAGCTGTTCCGGTTCTGGAGCCCAGACGGCTCTGGAGATGCCCCTCACTCCTGGCACCATCTGCTCTTCCACCCTGCATCTCGCCCTCCACCCTGCCCCCGCTCTGCGAATGCCCCTCAGTCCTGGCCCGCAGCCCCCCTGCTGTGCCAGGACTCCCCCTCGCCCGAGCAGACTCGCTGAGGTGGGGGGAGAGACCAGCAAATTCAGCTCATTGGTGCCCCCAGCGGGGTTCAGGTTCTCATTCATCCTGCCAAGCCCGCAGCCTCTTTCCCAGCCCCTGAGCCTGCTGGAGCAGTGCAGGGGCTGGACGCAATCCAGCCCTGTTCCCAAAGGCCTGCTGGCCGAGCACCAGTCCCAAGGCTGATGGGGGGCACGCCCCGATGCTCAGTCCTGCTGCATTCTGGGAGGACACGAGCTCTCAGCCAATCCGGAAGCAGCAGCTTCCCTCGCCCTCCCCCCCCTTTTGGGATGCTGCCCTTTCCAGCGCTGCCCCATTCACCTCCTTCCCCTTCATCTGCTCCTCACCCCATTGCTAGGGCTTCAGCTGCCCCCTCTTACCCACGAGGCCTGCAAAGCACCCCACCCCCACCTGACTGCAGCGGGGGCTGCTCCATCTAGTGGCACAGGGCACAGCCTGTGCTCACTGCAGCGGAGAGCAGAGCGTGAAACCACTGAGCCCAGCCGCTCCCCGGCCTGGTCCAGGGTTAGGCCCCATGCAGGAGCCACCTCTCTTCCTGAGCTGTGATTCCAGAGGCTCCTGCTGACACACGCAGGGTCGCGCCAGATACCCCAAGTCACCAGGTGCGGCTGCCAAATCCCCTGGGGCCCTTTCGGAAGCAGGCTCCATTGTGACTCCTGCTAGCAAGCCGGTTGGCAGCAATCCGCAGGTGAGCCCCACCGAAGCAGGAGGAACCGGGACCGCCAGGGACATGACGGCAGCTCAGTGCCTGGAACGCCGGTGTCCCGAAGGTCCCTCTGCGCCTCTGCTACAGATCTAGGTGCTGTTTTCAAACGCCTTTGCTGAAGTCCCCTGAAGCAGGGAAGCACCTGTGCCGGAAAGGATGGTAACATGCTGGGGAGCTCGCAAAGGGCTCAGCGGGGCCGGGCCCTTGAGGAGTGATTCGTGCCTTGCCATCGCCCGGCACGGCCCAGACATGGACGGACGATTCCTTAGAGCGGGCGGCCGCCTTTGGCTGGAATTCTGTGCTGCGCTCCCCGGAGAAGAGCTCCCGCAGGGTCTGTCTGCACTGCCGTCGGAGGGGCGACTAGCTGGCTCAAGTAACGAAAGCAGCGAAACCGCGGCCGCCCGGGACCTGGGTACGTGCTCGAGCGGCTGGCTGGCGCTGCTGAGGTGCCACGGTTGTTTTCAGGGGCTACATCCACACGTGCTCAGCCACACCTCTGATTGCAGTGCAGCCAGACTCAGTCGCAGCTCTGAGTGTGGAGGGGAGGGTGGCTTTGTGCCCTGGGGTTTCTAGGCTGGTCAGGGGCCAAAATAGCTCTAACTTACGGCAGCACCCCCGGCGGGCAGCTCTGCAGCCTGGAACTGCTGCAGCATCCCCAGAGCTCAGCACTAGGGAGATTCCCTGGCCCGTGCCCTGCACCAGAGTTTGTGAGAGGGTCACAAACCAGCCAGCCTCTGTATGCCACCGTGGCAGCACTGAGCGGCTGCGGGAGGGGAGAACCTCCCTCCTTTCATCGCTAGCCCCGAGCAGAAACGCAGCAAGCACCAGAAGAAGTTCCCTCGCTATCGTACGTCCAGGAGAACATATAACCCCTGCGTGCCGAGCTGGGACTGGGGCAGGAGGGGGCAGAGGGCTCAGGGAATGTGCGATGGGATAGACAGCTTGTTGCACCTAGCTCCATTCCAGCCCAGATCAACTAACCAACATGGGTGGATTTGGGGTCGTGGCCCACTCCTTAGAGGACAGGCATCCATAACACCAGTAAGCTCAGCACAGAAGCCAAGCCCTGAACAGATCATGGCAGCTCATCTCCAGGAGATGGTCAGGGTTGTTATTCTTATTTAGCTCTTTTCATCAAATGATCTCCAAGGGCTTTACAAAGGAAGTCAGTGTCAGGGGAAACTGAGGCACGGGGAGGCAAAGCGACTTGCCCAGGGTCATCCAGCAGGCCAGTGGCTGAGCTGGGAACTGAACGCATGACTTCTGAGTCTCAGGCCGGCGCTCTACCCATGGGGTCACACTGCCTCCCCTCTGCACTGCATGGCTCTGGGGGAGCTTGCCCCATTGCTGCCCATGCTCTGGAGATAAGGGAGAGCTATAACGCATTCCGTACTACGGAGATGCCGGCAGATGCGGCACTGCTCTCCCCTCCTGCTGGCCTGCACCGGGGGCCAATTGCTAATTACACATGGGGAATTACAGAGCAGGCTGCATCGGCGGGGTGGCCCGGGTCCAGAGCAGCGACGCTCAGCGCCTGCACCGAACCGCTCAAGCTCAGTGAGGAATCCCCGCACCAGACACAGCAGGGTCTTTTCCCCCACTCAGTTCAGGGGCCTCCAAGCCCTCCGACGGCATAGGCGCTTTGACACGAACATGATCAATTCTAGACTGCGTGGAGCTAGTGTGCAGGTAGCCGTGTGCCCGGGTCTGGCTGCCGCTCTGGGCTTCAAGCCCCAGACAGCCGGTCCAAACAAGGACTCACCCTCAAAACCTGTCTCAGCTCTGTGATCACAAAGCAAGCTGTAGAAACACCTGGGGCCGTGTTCTCTCCCCCAGTCGGAGCCAGAGTTTCCAAAATGCTCAGCACATCGGGTGTCCCTGGGGTGCTGGGTTTTTGGGAGAATCGGGCCCTTATTTAGGTGTATAAACAGCAACTGAGCTTGGAGGGAAGATTTGGGTGCTGAGCCCTTGGCAATCTGGCCTATGATACACGCATACGTATCCACACCCCCCATCACCGCGGCTTGTGCCAGGCTCCCAGCCTCACACTGGGGCTACCCTTTGGCAGGAGGGCTATTGGGGCGGTTAAAAAAAACAGGGGGCCAGAAGTGCCTTCCCAAGAGGCAGCCTGGGGCTCGTGGCTGGGGCAGGGGCTGCGGTGAAAGGTTTGTCCGGTGTGATCTATTTCGTGAGGTTCCCCCTGCACCCCAGGGAGGGGAAAAGTGCTCTGGAGGGAGGAAGCCCAGAGGCGAGGAAGCCCCGAGCAGGGTGTTTAGGGCCACGCAGAGTCCAGGTGTGCAATGAGCATTGGTGCTGACCCCCGCGGGCTAGGTAGGGAGCAGGGGGGATTGGCTCTCAGCCAATTTAGTTTCCACCCTTCGCCCGCCCCTACTCACAGCCCCAACCCAAGTGAAGGTTGGAAAGAACTGGGTGGGGGGTCTCCCCTCCTCCCACATGTGCCAGCTAGCCCCCTGGAGGATAGATCCATTGGAGTGGGGGGACTCCATGGCCTCCGTTCCTCATAGAGAGGATAAATACACCCCTGCTGCATGCCCATTAGCCCCCACCAGAGATCAAATCTCCCCATACCCCCAGCTCCCCACACAGAGGTAAATCTGCTCCCAATGATTGTCCCCTAGCCCACCCCCAAGGTCAGATTCCCACCCCCACGCGCCCCCATAGAGAGAGGCTATACGTTCACAACCCTGGGAGAGCATGAGGAAAGCCTACTGCTGCTGGCAAGACCCCAACCGAGCCCGCCAGCCCTCTTATGCCTCTTGTGACTTCACTGCCCGACCCCACTGCCAGGCCTGGGCTAGAGTTCACAGAGCCCCTTGAAAGGCGGAGACGGGGGGAAACGCCTAACCAAAACGGTGCCCCTTACCTGGTCCCGGATCCTCTCCTGCTGGCCTCGGATGGCCAGGGCATGCTGCGGGTACTTGTTCTTCAGGTGGTCCATGAAGGCGTCCCGCTTGCGGTCCATCTCGGCCTTCTGGAGCCCAGTCAGGGCCTCCAGGCTCTGGGCAGCGATCACCGTGTGCCGGCGTTCCGAGGTGTGCACCAGCCCGACGTTGGAGAAGCGCCGGGTCCCGTTCCCCAGGGTCCTGTATTCCCGTGGGTACTCCGCATCGTCCGCTGAGATCATGTGTGTGCTAGTCCTCTCGGGATCTACACGGGGTGGGGGAAGGGGAGAGAGCAGAGCTGGGGTCAGGGACCTTTCCGCCAGCCCTCGGCCTGATGCCTCGGTCGTTGGGGCGACCGTCGAGAGGGGCCAGGGAATCCAGCAGTTACTGCTCCGTCGTGGAGCTGCTTGGTCAGGGCTGGCAGCCAGGGACTGAAGTGAGGGGCTGATGGCACAGGCTGGCCGGGGGCAGGGTCCACGCTCCAGATCCCCTGAGCAGAGCTTGGGTTGGATGGCTGGCGGCTGTACAATGCCCAGGGGATGGGGGCTAGGGGCCTGGCTCTCCGTTACCCTGCACAGTTACGCTGTGACCACCCTGCTGTTTTTAGCATGCTAGCTCGAGAAGAGGGGCAGGGCATGGGCATGGGCATGGGCAAGGCAGGCCCTGGCTGGCAACCACCAAACTTCATTCATGTGGCAGCCTCGTTCTCCAGAGGTGAAAGGCCAATGCCTGAAGCCCGAGTCCCACCTTGCTTAACACGCCCAGCTGGCCCTGATTCACGGCAGAGCGACCCCACCGCAGCGCGTGACTAGAGGCAGAGGGTCACTGCGGGCAAATGCTCTGCACAGGCTGCTCCTCCCTGGGTGCTTGGCCATGCAATGCACCCCAGTTTATGGTACCACCTCGGTTTGGTGGCCAGGAGACAGAGCAATCCACTAGTTGGCTTCTCCGATGGGTCAGGTTTAAAGGGGCGCTGTCCAGTGGTTGAGACCAGGGGGTGAGTCACACCTGAGGAGGAAGCATTGGCCGCTTGGTAAATCTCTCGAGATGGGTTGGATCCATTCGCTGCTCTGCTGCCAGGCAGCAAATGACATCAACAAAATACAGAGAGGCCCCAGAGAGACGCCCAGCAGGCGGGAATTCGACTCCCTCCTTCCATCTCTGCCCAGGCCGGGGAATTAGGGCTCGCCCCCTGCAACCGGGGCCTAATTTCCAAAGAGCCCAGCACCCATGGTGGGAGGAGGGGGCAAAGGTGTGGGGTGGGGGGCAGGGACAAGCGAATCAGGAAGGAGATGATCTAAGCTTCTAAGGGGGGGCTGTTGCAAGCCAGCAATGGAGGTGAGTTCTAAACCTGTGGCTAAAGCATCTGACAGCGTCTCTTTAAATCGCCTCTCAGATAGAAGCCACATGAAAAGTCCTGGGCTTGTCCGCGGTGACCAGATGGCAGCAACAGCCCCTCTGCCCACAAGGCTTTGCCACTTTCCTACCTACGCTCCCTCCCTCTCTGCTACTCATTCGGCCCCCAAAGGAGGGCTTGGCGTATGAGGCGCAAACAGAGGGTGGGTGGATTTCAGGCTCAGGAGAAGGGGGCAGGGTCGTGGGGGCGGATTCTGGCCTGGGGAGGAGGAAGGAGGGTCAGGGGCTGCAATCAGAGTTTTGTCCTGGGACAGATTGCAGCAGAGAGGAGGGGAGGGGGAGGCTGAAGGCTGCAGAGCCGCCGGCCCGGGACAGCAACAGACGTAGGGAGACAGGACAGGGGAACCACAGAGACCACAACGTTCAAAAGAAAAGGCTAACAATTGACTTGAAACCAAAAACAGTCAGAGACCCAGGACGGACCAGGGCCCGTACGCTGCTTCGGAGCAGAGACACACAGAAGGACACAGACAAACGGACATACCAAAAAGAAAATGAAATGCAGGGCAGTGCATGGGGGGAGGGGGACTCTTTCGGACTGCCGGCGCCACTCTGAGGCTAAGGTCCAGCTGGCAAAAGCAACGCGCTCCCCACCCGGCGACAGGCATCTCTTCTCACTTCCCCAGGCAGGCGTGGGGACACGCTTCCTGCAGAGAGACACAGCCAGCACACCTAGGCCCAGGGAGACCCCTTCCTCAGCCAGCTCCCTGCTCCAGCTTCACCCCCTTCCCGAGGTCCCTCATGCCCCAGATCTCTCTGTAGGCTCGTCCCCAGCGTTCACCTTGCCCCTTGCCTGCTGTTGGCTCTTTGTCTTTAGCAGATCCTGCATCTCCCCGGCTGGCCCTGTGCTGACAGAGCTCTACAGAGTTAGTGCCAGAACCGGTCACCACTGGGAGTCCCCCCCAACACACACACACGCCAGCGGCAGATTCTCAGCATTCAGATTAGGAAAGCCCCCTCAAACCAGAGCAAAATGCCCCTGTCTTGGAAGCATCTAGACCGCCGAGCGCCTCTCCATGCACAGCGGGGACCTGCCTGCATCACCTCTAAGACCGGCCTCGGCAGGGAGAGCTGGGAAAGCATCCCCCTCTGAGATCCCCTGGAGTGCTCAGCCCCCACAAACACAAGACCCTGAGAACGCAGCTCCAATGGGCAGCCTAGCTCTCACAGGTGGAGCCCAGCCCCACGGTGCCATGAGTGACTGAGGCGGATAGCGATGGATTGTTACAGGTGCCTTGGGTTTAAAAAACACTTTAAAACAAGATGACTGTAGCCCGGGATAAAATAACAGACAAGGGAGAGGAAGGATAGTCCTGTGCTTAAGGCTCTTGGCTGAGACAGCTGGATAGAGGGCTGAAGGAGAATCTCCACCAGCTGTTAACAGAATAGAGCCTATGACACATAGGCAAGCAGTGATTCTCACCACTAGGGGGCAGTGTTTGCATTACAATAAGTACATGGGTCTTGGGTATTTATATGGCCCCCATTACTGTAGTATGTGAGCCTCTCACAATCTATAGCGTATTTATCCTGTGAGGTAGGGCAGTGCTGTTAGCTCCATTTTAGGGATGGCAAACTGAGGCACATAGCTGTTAAGTGACTTGCCCAATGTCAAACAGGGAATTGAACCCAGAGTCTCCAGCTAGTGCCTTAACCATCAGTCCAGGCTTCTTTCATCTTTGGCTCATATGTTGATATTTCTATAGCCATTTCTACCCAGAGAGCTCCAAACATCAAAGCACTTCATGACACCCCAGTAAGGGAGGGAAGGATAAATTAACTCTGTTTTCGTAAATGGGGAAACTGAGGCACAGGATGCAAAGTAACTGGCCCAAGGTCCCCCAGGCAGAGAGCAGGAAACCGAATTCAGCTTTCCTGGTCCTGTTTGGGACCCCTGGACCACACATCATTTCTGTGTCAATCGCCCCGTCAGTCAATGGTCATTTGCAGAGCGCTGTTTGTCCCTCTTTTTGCAAAGGAGGAGGATATCACAGGGGTGGGGGCCAGCAATCACACAGAAAGTAAGGGGGTGGGGGGAAGCTTGCCGGTTTGCAGCCATAGGTAATTCATTGGCTGCACTTCGTGATTTTAATTTCCAGTGAAGTTGTGCCGAGCCTGCGAGTGGTAATTAATGACTGGGACTCCCTGCACGTGGAGATTGCCTGGAGCTTTCCTGGGGCTTGAAAGGGGAGGGCAGCTTAGGGTCTGTCTCCCCTCAGAAAATTCCAGAATGCCTGTTAAATCCCCCACCCCCACAACCCCGCGAAGGTGACTCTGACATCTCCTTCCTTTTCCTTCCCCCAGGACCCGTCCCCCCGCCTGCTGAGTTGCCCACCCCCTCCACAGCAGCCCCTCCTGGCCCCTGACCCCTCTCTCCCCTACTCTCCCCAGGACACTGCTCACTGCAAGATGCCGTGCTCTCCGCCCCCCACTGCAACCCACCACGTCCCACACCCTGCCCTCCCCTGCTCGATCCCACCCACCCCAGCTTGCCCTGGCCTAACATGGGATCGTGCACACGCTCCGAGGAAAGTAGCCCCAGAGGACATGTCCAAGCAGCAAGTCTGAGCTGCAGCCGGGACCCTCTGACAGGCTCTCACCCCGGCCTCCTTGCGGCTCGCTCAACTAGGCTGCTGGGAAATGGTCAGGGAAATGGCTTTCTCAGGAGTTCTCTGTGCCAGGCTGGGGCTGGGACCGACACCCGGCTGCTCAGGAGAGAGATTCGAAAAAGCCAGCCCAGCTTCTCGGAGAGCCTGGCCTTGAAAAGACAAGGGTCACCTGGCAGGCTGGTGCCTGATCTAACAGGTGGTGACAGCACCTCCGAGCCAAGGCAGCTGGGGGAAGCTTTGGCCTAGGACATGCTCCAGATGGAAAGTCCAGCGGGGACTCCAGCCCCTGGGAGAATCTGCCTTGATAGCCACATCTCCTGCGTGGAACCAGGCAGGGAATGGAGTTACCGGGCTGGGATCCGGCCAGGTCAGGGCCCCGACTCCCAGCTATGAGACCGAGTGCCCCAGGTTCTTCCTGCATGGCAGATTTTCAAGCATGGGGCAGTCTTGCCCAAGAGAACCATGGGATCTTTCGTGAACCTCGTGTCAAAGCCTTGCTTTACCGCTTCCAGTGAAGGATACACTCCCCTCACACACTGTACAGCCATGCCGGGCATGGGCTCAGTACTGATGCAGAGGGAACGGGCCGGCAATTCCAATGCTCATGAGCTCCCCTGTGTTGTTCCACCACCCATTCCTACAGGGACCATGTCACCGTGCCATTCTGTGATGTAAGCCACGGGAGGCGCCAGCCAACCAGCATCCCCTGCATGGGGCCGCCGTACCCAGCTGGGCCAGAGACAGCCTTGGGAGGACGAGCTGGGATGTCAGGGCATCCCCAACGCTGTCCGCCCCACAGGCAGCCAGCCTTTGGGGCGTGTCTCACTGATGCAGGGGGCAATGCAGTGAGTGGGGGTCTCTGTCCTGGTACGAAGCTGGTTGCTGCTCCCTGTTCATTAGACACGAACGTCGCGTTCTGAGCAACAGGGCCCAGCCCGGAGTGCTCACCACACCGGCCCCTCTTCCGTGCCTGGGATCTCAAAGGGCTTTGCAGACAATAGCTCTAAGCTCACAGCACCCCTGGGGCGCGGGTACCTATTCTCAGCCCATCCTCGGGTGGGGAAACAGGCAAGGAAAGGCGAGATGGCTTCCCTAAGGCCACAGAGCAAATAGCAGCAGGGCCGGAAGCAGAACCCAGGAGTCCGGACTCCCCGTTGTTAACCTGTATTGTAGAAGTGAGAGAGGGAGGAGGCCTATTAAGATGCCCGGTCCCGCACTGGACTAGGCCCTACAATAAACA